CCTTCCTTCCTTCCTTCCTTCCTTGCTTCCTTCCTTCCTTCCTTCCTTCCTTCCTTCCTTCCTTCCTTCCTTCCGGGGACACCATCCGCCAGGCCAGCACAAAGTCAGACCAACACGAGGGGAGTCTTACATCATTTCAACATCCCTCATCTGGAGAGATTTGGTTCAACGCAGCTCCATCTGGCCTAACGTCAAGCTCAGCTGGTCCCAAGCCATCTCGACTAGTTGCAATTGTACTCTTTTGGAAGGCCGAACGAATGAGTTGCCTCCTCGGGTTGGTTTGTTCCTTGTGTGTAACAAACTCCATGGCAGGCAAGGTTAAAACGGTTCTCCTTCACTGCGTGGAACATTTGTTTGCAACTCTTACCTTTGGTTAACGCTTGGCCGACAAAATTTTTATTGACCACCGACAAAACTTTCTAAAACCCACGTGTTTCTTCACTAATTTAACCGGATGGAACCTGGGGGTTTTGAGGGGCTTGTTTTTGAATGATTGTGGCTCAACGTGAACATGACAGATCCATCTACAGTACTCCTAAGGCAGATCGGATTGACATAGGGGAAAAGATGGTGCAATTTTAACCCCCATCACCTTACACAATTGTTCTCACACTAGCAAGGTAAAAACTGCTAAAACAAGCAGGGTCTTTTTTAAGAATTAGAAGCTTCGAGTGGGCCGTTTCCCTCTTTCTGAACGATCACCCTTCTATGTTTGCACGGCGCGGCGGTGCCTGCATGCTTTCGCTCTACAAAGCAAAAGTTCACTAGCTTTATGCAGAGATATTATGAATACCTTCCAGAGATTCTCACCCCTTCCAAAAGCTCCCTTTGTCTCAGTCTCACCATAAGAAAGATGAAAGAACATGGACATCGTATTTCTTGTGCCACAACAGCCCGAATCAATGAGAACGGGGAATTAAATATTATTCACAGCTACGCTACAGAGACAAGCCCCACCTCAAAGCAGAGTGGCATGCAGCTCTGAAAGGTTGGGAATTCCATCATCCCTTGTATCCAAAGCCCATCATCCTGTGCAATTAACAAATGAAGTGAACTAGTAAGCTATGAAACTTAGTGGGCATCAGTGTTGCTGATGATAAACCTATATATATATAAATGTGATATATATCACATTTTAGAGGTCTATCATCATATATATCATATACAGTATATTGTCTGCTACCCTCCCTCTGAAATCAAATTTCGCTCTTGGGCTCAAAAGAGGTCTCCCCGTCCTTGGTTCACACAATATAATATCCAGGAAACTGAGCAGAATATTAGCTGAGAGACTGAGCTACCGATCTGGAAAACCCCATTCAAATCTCATCTCCATCATGAATTTACTAGATGAACTTCTGTCTCACCCTCAACCCTCCCCATCGGTAAAAGGGGAAACAAGAATGCAGACTTCCTAAACCTTTGGCTTTCCCAAAATCTTTCTACTACAGCTCTTGTAGGCTGTTACCATCAGGGAACCCCCCCACGTTCCCCAAATCTGCGATCCTTTGGCAATGATAAAGATACAAGGCAGCAAGCAACAGCTCGAGTGACTTCCCCAGCTACCATCAACTATCATCAGGTGAATGGAATAATAATAATAATAACAGTAATAATAACAGTAATCATCATCATCATCATCATCATCATCATCATCATCATCATCATCATCATCTCTGAAACCACACCATCAGAGCTTCAATAAACATCAATATTAGGAACAGCATACATAGTGCACTGATATTTTACAGATACTTAGGTTCTTTGGTTAGAACTTGTATCTGTTATATAATACCAGTCAATGGTTTTATAATGTTGATTGACTGTGCCTGGTAGTTTTGAATAATAAATAAAATTAAAAAGATTGGGACAACGTTAACAAAAATTGGACAAATACCTAATTAAACATGTGAAGAACAGCAGTGACATTTTGGGAAAAAAAGCTGACTGTGGCCAGAATCCAGATGAAAAATTATGCAGGTGTAACCACTAGTATAAACTGCAGCTCTAAATTGCTGCAAATAATAATAACGATGATGATGATGATGATGATGATGATGATGATGATGATGATGATGATGACGACGACGATGACGATGACGAAGATGATGACGATGATCCAACAATGTTTCAGCTCCTCACAGGAATACTTGCAAGATCAATATATAATTACTGTATTTAATTGAAAATTCCCTTTCCCCAACTGAACAGAAAGGAATGCTTAGGTTTTGGGGTAAAACTTCTATCTGCTATGCAAGACCAGTCAACATTTTCAATAATCTTGATTGACTGTGCCTGTTATCATCTGAATAGTAATAATAACAACATGACGTATAGTGACCCTCTCCAGGGTTTTCTCTGTAGACATAACTCAAATGTGGTTCCCCCTTCCCTTCTTCTGGGGGGGGGGTCTCCTGGGGCTAAGCAGCTTTCCTGAGGCCACGCAGGCTGGCTCTTCCCTAGAGGCACAGTGGGGAATCATGCATACATTTTTCAAAGAACTGTTTTCCATGGGGTGGCTACGGGACGGCTTGGAAGGCCATAAAAATGCTCCTGGGTGGCCACAGGTGGCCCTAGAATGCCCTGTGCCCACTCTTATGATCCCCACAGATCTGTGTTTGTGGCTGCAAATTTTGAGCGCTCCATCCAGAAAGATAGGATCGCACGAGCACCAATTCCACGGCCCAGTCGCCCACTAGGTCTCACAGCTGACTAGTTCGTTTGAGACACACATGTCTTTTTTTTTACATAGCTATCCAATATGGTTGGCTAAGTGACTTCACAACTCTATACATTTTATTCTGTACAGACTGAACAAAGACCGCTTCTAAAAACAGGGGTAGAGCTATGCAGGATCAAATTAGGGGTTCATCTGTTTTGGATGCTGTTTCCACTAGCAGCCACCCAGATGCATCTGGACATGGAAATAAACAGTACCATGTTTCCCCGAAAATAACGCAGGGTCTTATATTAATTTTTGCTCCAAAAAAAAAACACACATTAGGGCTTATTTTCAGGGGATGTTTTGTTCTTTTCACGGACAACCATCTACATTTAATCAAATGCAGTAATGTCCTCTTCTTCTGGTTGCTGCACAAGGGTGGAGGGTGGGGCTTTCACTTAACTAGGGCTTATTTTGGGGGGTAGGGCTTATATTACGAGCATCCTGAAAAATTATACTAAGGCTTATTTTCAGGTTAAATCTTATTTTCAGGGAAACAGGGTAGTGGAGATGGGGGGTATTCGTATTCGTATATCCTCGCACAGGTGACATTATGGACGGTCCAGCCCCCCAGGGCTGGACGGTCCACTCACTGACTCACCGTGGACGTGGACGGCACAATTCTACCAATGGCTCTGCATGGGGGGGGGTATTCATATTCATATATCCTTGCATAGGTGGCATTAACAAGGGTCCACCCACTGACTCGCCGTGGACATAGACAGCACTTTTCTACCAATGGCTCTGCAGTGCACGATCCGTTTCCCATTCTTCAACCTTGCAGTGAGGCTTGTCCTGCCAGGAGTGGCAAGCGGATGGCACGCTGTGGAGCCATTGGTAGAATCGTGCCGTCCGCATCCGCAGAGGATCAATGAGTGAACCGTCCGGGCGCCATGGGGCTGGACCCTCGTTAGCATCACCTGTACGGGGATATTCGTATATAAATACCCCCCATCTCTAAAAAAAATAGTCATGATTTTTCTCATTCTAAGTAAAGAAGGTGCAATGTGTTCTCGAAGGCTTTCATGGCCGGGATCTGATGGTTGTTGTGGGGTTTTCGGGCTGTTTGGCCGTGTCCTTACAGTTTTTCTTCCTAACGTTTCACCCGTCTCTGTGGCCGGCCTCTTCAGAGGACAGGAATCAAGACTCCCACAGACTGCCCCAGAGCACAGACAGAGTTCTGACTCTTGTCCTCTGAAGATGC